AAATGAATAAAATCGATTGATTAAAGAAAGAGAAATCAAACCTGGAACACACAGAAAGCTAACAGAAATCAAACAATGATCTGGCCCTGATTGCCCAGGCTGAAATTAATATAAAGCAAAGAAAAACAGGTGAGATAATTGCAGCAGGGAGGAAAACGGCAAGTGAAAGAAATAAACAATTAAGGTGGAGGAATCAGGCCAGATCATGACACATAAATTCAAAGTACATTCTGAAAGGAGCATAAACATCTTACTATTTGTTTACTGGAGACACAACACTGATTCACTATGTAAGTTTAGGGGACATTTTATAAATATTTTATACCTTGAACAGGTCAAAGTTAGGAACTTAAAAAGCCACAAAATACCGTCCTCTGAAAGGTTGGAGGTACTAGAGAGAAATTATTAAAGGTCAGAAAATCAATTTACCTCTTTAAAGTTGGCAAGAAAGCCTGGGTTCTTGGTGGAAAAAATATGAAGAAATGTCTTTATGTAGTGAGTAAAGTGAGCTCCTTTGTCCAGATGAGAGCAGCCCGCCGAAGTCTCCGTGGGGAATAAACATCATGAAGAAGCCAAAGAAATCTGGGCCCAAAGCTTTTGGCGTGAGGCTGGAGGAATGTCAGCCTGGTGTCAACAACAAGGTGAGCCACCGTTGACTCTGCATGTTTCTGAAAGCGCTTTATTTTCCTGGTTGATATCATACATTTATCCTTTCTGTTGGTTTTTTGCTCCGTCCTTCTCAGTTTATTCCGTTGATTGTTGAGTTCTGCTGCGGCTTGGTGGAGGAGATGGGTCTGGAATACACAGGAATCTACCGGGTTCCAGGGAACAACGCCATAGTCTCACTGCTTCAGGAACAGCTCAACAAGGGCATGGACATCAACCCAGCTGAAGAGGTGAGAAAACTTCACTGTCCAAAAGAGTATGGAAATCCATCATGATATATACCTGATCTTGATAAAGTCAGTAGGAAAAATATTTTTATTTCAACACTATTATTACTATTATTCATTCCATTGTCTATAGTTTGTGATTGCCTTTTCCCTTCTTTATATCCTTCCTTCCTTCCTTCCTTGTGATACGCCTCTTTTCTCTCTTTCTTGGTCTCTTGTGTCCTTCTACCCTTTAATCCATTTCTTGTGTCATCCCACCCTTCATCCAAGTGTATAAAGTCCTTCCTTCCTTCCTTCCTTCCTTCCTTCCTTCCTTCCTTCCTTCCTTCCTTCCTTCCTTCCTTCCTTCCTTCCTTCCTTCCTTCCTTCCTTCCTTCCTTCCTTCCTTCCTTCCTTCCTTCCTTCCTTCCTTCCTTCCTTCTGTGTGGCCTTACTTCTTTACTTTACTTAATTTTTTTATTGTTCCTTAGTTCCTTCTGTTCTTCCTAGATTAAATTTAGTTTTCAATATAAAATAAATGTGAAAAGAACCACTGAAAGAGTTTTATCTGCAATATAGCAGGGTTGCAAAAGGAAATGTTGTGTCATCTGTGTTTGTTGTTGTCTTTAGAGGTGGCAGGACCTCAACGTTGTCAGTAGTTTACTCAAGTCCTTCTTCAGGAAGCTTCCAGAGCCTCTGTTTACCAATGGTGAGCCCATTACATGTTCAGACAAGCTGTCATGCATGTCATTCTTACAAATGTTAACTGATCACCTAACTAACTTGCTTTCATCTGTCCAACATCTAAACAGACAAATATATTGACTTCATTGATGCCAATCGGATGGAAAATGCATCAGAGCGGCTGAAGACCATGAAGAAACTGGTACGTTTCTGCTTTTATTCCTCAGAGGAATCAGGGACTGGCTGGTTAAACAGGTTTAACTGTTGGATGTTTTTTTTTAACAGATCCGAGATCTTCCAGATCATTATTTTCATACTTTGAAATTCCTGATCACCCACTTGAAGACGATTGCAGACCACTCGGATAAGAACAAGGTGTGTCAAATGTTTGGCAGCTATTTATCAGCTCAGGCATCTGTTCAGAATCATTTGTGCTCAACTGTTTGTTTTTTCTTCTGCGCCGCTTCAGATGGAGCCTCGTAATTTGGCCCTGGTTTTTGGGCCGACCTTGGTTCGGACCTCCGAGGACAACATGAAAGATATGGTCACCCACATGCCCGACCGCTATAAGATCGTGGAGACGCTGATCCAACACGTGAGAGAAACACACCGATGAAGACATGTTTGATTAAGGCTCAGTAACGCTGAACGTTTTCCTTTCTCTGATCGTTATTTATAGTGCGTGTGGTTTTTCACCGATGAGCTCGACAAAGATGAGAAGGTAGGTTTTCCACTAAGCTTGTCTAAAAACTAAGCACTAAATGATTGTGTGTAAAACGCTCGCTATTAAGAAATTTAAAAAACCTTTTATTTATACTGTTTATTCAGTTCAGTTATTATTTATCTTTAAACTTTGACTTTGTTGTAATTAAAAACCAATTACCCACCAATAGAATAATAAAAAATAAAATAGGTAGAGTTCAATTGAATTCAAGCAGTTATAAAGTATAATCGTTATAGCTTAAAGCTCATGATTGCTTATACTGCATGTGAAATAAAGGAGCCTGAATGCAATGCCTTACAATAGTATTCAAACCTTTGAATTTTTCACATTATGATCACAAACTGTTATTAATATCAGTTGGATTTTGTTTATTAATCTATTTATTCATTCATTTTTAAACCAATGCAAAGCAGTGCATAATTATTCATTTACAAACCAGATTTTTTAACCGTACCTTTCTCTGTGGTTTCTCTGCGCAAATCTTTGGTAAACAGTTAAATAAGAAAGTGTCCTTTACAAGTCATTTCTTTACCAGCTTTTTAATAAAAATTCTTTCTCATTCTTCCTCAGGAATTAGCAGCAATTTTTAAGCGTTACCATTTCTTAATTGGACTTAGGTTTTAGCTTATATCATCTAAACCAGGCATTCCCAAACTCGGTCCTCAAGGCCCCCTGTCCTGCAGGTTTTAGAGGTTTCTCTGCTTCAGCACAGCTGGTTATAATGATTGCAGTAGACCAAAAGCCTGTTAATCAGCTTTCAATTAAAATCAGCTGTGCTGGAGCAAGGAAAGCTCTAAAACCTGCAGGACAGGGGGCCTTGATGACCGAGTTTGGGGATGCTTGATCCCAGTGCAGCTCTGTGTGACTATTAAAGGCCATAGACCCGCCACCATGAAAAGTGAACTTCCAGGTCTTTGCAGGTTTTGTTTCAGTATTGTTTTGCATCTAACTCCTCTATTTTTATCATCTCCGACCATCTAACCCCCCCCCCCAAGGAAAACATCCCCACAACTCTGGATTTTTTGTTCTGCTAAAGAAATAACTGCATTAAGTAGTATTTAAAAATAATTCTGAATAATTCAGCAGCATTTTTCTTTTTTTTTTTTTTGGGTATTTACTTTCCTCCTACCCGTTGTTTTATGGCATTCCCAAATACCTTCTAAGCTTTATGGTTATCAGTTATTTCATGTATTTTAGTCTCATTGAAATCAGAGCAAAGCAGGATCACAAAGCTACAATTCCTTAATCCACAGCTAAGATTAGGCTTCATTTAAAACCTTCCAGATGTGCTGTTTGCAGGCAGAAAGGGTTATTTTAAAAGGAATCGTCTCCTTGACTGAAAGCTCCAATCACAAAGTACCTTTTGGAGAAGTCATAGAAACAAAGGTTCGTGTCTTTTTTACAACCTGTGCTCTAAATAATGACACAGAAAGTCAAGTTTAACTGTAGGTGTTCAGTTCATCTGCTTTGACTTAATTTGAGATTAACGGCAAAAACCCTTTTCCTTTAGCTGACCAAAAGTATGATAGCATGACTTAAACATGAGTAGTTCTATTATTACAAATAAAAATATGAACCTAAACAGTTTAAAAACACCTTTAAAGGTAATTTAGGAGCAGAGATGTTTTTGTGTTGTTGTTTATTTTCCCCACTAAGTAAGAGAGCTGTCAGTGTGAGACATTTATTTGGGTACACTTAATCAGTAGTCAATAGACTTTAAAAGAGATAACATTAGATAATACTTAAAGAATTGAGTTTAAAGCAATGTTTCTAGAGTAAAGTCAATGTTGAATATATATGACTTGAAGCTATCTGAAAATTCCATGTTTTTTTTTTATTTCTTCAATAGAAATGGGTTCTTTATTTAAAGACAGAACAACCATGTTATGTTCAACTTGACAAATCTGTGAGTTCAAACTTGTCCTGAAGGGCTGGTGTCCTTTCCTTCACGCCTGCATGTCCAGCAGCAGTTAAGCTCTGCAGAGCTCTGCTAACGAGCTAATGTTAGAGTCAGCTGTGTTTAATCAGGAACGCATCTAAAAGCTGCAGGACACCGGCCCTCAACGACTGGAGTTTGAGACCACTTCTTAAAATCTATGAGAATTATGATGCTTGGAGGAAAAGAAAGTTTCCATGACTTCATGCACTTATTGGAAAACCTGATTCCAGCAGCCCTTGATCCATAGGTTCTGACAGAACTGATCATCAACACCTTTTTTATTATTATTATTTGTTTTCCTGATTCTATTCAGTCTTATTCACTATTATTATTTGAGGTATAAGCTAAAAGCATGGGGAGGTAGCATCCGCAGTAACGTCTCTAAAAAATGTAGCCAAACGGCAGACTACAGGCATAAATTAGCATCAACGATCATCTCTAAAATGAGATACATGGTCAGGATTGAGCATCCCGCTGCATAAAGCTCTTTGTAATCTTTGTAGTTCTGGTTGTGTCCTTCATGTTCCAAAAGAAGTCCGGTATGAAAGAACCAGAACTACAAAGTTACAAAATGGTAGATATAGAAATAATGATCCCAGCAGAATGGGTAGAAAAGACGAGAACTGAGATGATACAACGATCAAGTCAGTTGAAAAACTAAATCAAATTGTTCAAAAGAAATTATATCAGACTGAAAAATTCACCTAAATCAGCGGAGCAAACAGCATCCAGGGAACATCTTTGGATAAGATTCAGACTCTACTAGCATGAACACCACCGAACATAAACTCTTATCAAAGCTTTTCCTTGCACTTTGTTTTTAATTTCATGGAAGAATTTATTCTATTTCCAAATGTAGTACACCAGGAGCAGTTAGTATAAATCATTAATCAAAAACAAAAAAAAAAATCTCTGTGAATTATTGATCAGCACACTTCATCTCCTGGCTTTGGAGTAAAGGAGTTTTGGCAAAGTTTGAACATCTTTCATCAACTATGAAAAACTTTCTAGATTAGAGATAAAAGGTTTTTAAAGTTCCGAGTTCATGTCTCTCCAGACACCGGTGGACACTGAGGACGTCCAGCCGGCCCCCAACATCGACCACCTTCTGTCCAACATCGGCAGGACAGCTCTGCTCGGGGAGGCTTCAGGTGAGAAACGTTCCAGCAGCTCATTACATCCATTAAATATAAGAAACATTCAAATTTAATGCTGGTTTTCGTTCTCCTTTTGCTATATCAGGATTAGAGTTTGATTTTTTTTTAGCTGACACTACGGTCACAGTAATAAAAGAGTAAAATGGAATTTAAATACCCAACTTTCCAAAGAGAACTGAAACGCAGCATGAGAATTGAACCCTTGGATCTGTTAGCACTCGGAGTCTCAGTGTTTGACAGCATGCCTGCTCTTCTCTCCTTTCTGCTGACCTCTGTTTTTCCTTCCATGTTGCTCATCTTTCACTTTCTCTCTGTGCGTTTCTGCGTTTCCTTCTCTTAGCTGAGCCTGTGGAGCAGCCACTGCGGTAGGACGGGAACTCCTCTGGCAATGTGTGTGTGTTGAGCGAGTGTGTTAGTGCTGGTGACAGCTTGTGTCTCCATGGTCTCCATTCCCCCCCTGGAGGTTGGCATCCCTGTCACTGTCAGATTGAGCTTTCTGTAAAAATAAAACCCCTGCCACTTCACTGTCGTCCTGGTTTGACTAATACTTTAATGGGTTACTTGATGGCTGGGAAAGCTGCTGCTTCTGAGAGGCAACTCACTCTGGCTGCAGAGCACAGTGCTCCAATCATCCTGGTTGTTTTTTTTCCAGTTATCACGACTGTCTAACCTCACTCCTGGTTCTTATGGGACTTTAGGTGTTACCATTTCTTATGCATCATTTCAAAGTTGTAATTCTGCAAAACAACAAATGTTATTATTTCATAAAGAAATGGATGCTTTCTAGTTGTGTGAACCAAGAACTTTATTTCTTAATCCTCCTCAGCAGAATTGTGATCAAACATACCAGCATCCAGAACAAACTAGCTGTTAGTTTCCTCATAAACAAAAAATATTCTGCTTTAGTCCTTGGGTTAGTATCCTAAAAGCAACATCTAAGATTTTACAAAAACAAAAACTTATCTAGTGATTCTATAAAGTTCAGTTAAACTAAAAACTGTTTTCATATTTTTTATTACTATGATTCTGGAAAACTGTAATCAGTAAAGCATGTATGTTTAAAATATACCCCCAAGTCCACCGATGTGCTTCAATTCAGCTGGTTTTTAACAGGACTCTAACAAACTTTGTGACATGTCAGCAAACAGGAACAACCCTAAGAAACCATTTAAATATCATCATGTCATTTTGGGATAGAAATGAAAAACCAAAAGCTGAAATTAATTAAATTAATTTACAAAAGATGGTAACTATAAATAACACCCAAGCTAAGGGGTGGGGGGGCATATTCAAATCATTTTTTTTTTAGCAGGGACAAGTCTAAGCTGTGATGTAAAAGTCATTATATAGAGTTATATCCTATCTTGAGAACACTGAAGGGTTTAATTGTTCTTGGCATTTTATTTTGCAAAGGATTTTTAGTTGATTAAAGCATTTTATCTTGGTTCTTGCAATGTCATCTAGTTTTAGCTGATCTTCATATACTGAAGCCGTTTTAACATCCTCAGTTTCATTTCTCTCTTTCAAACATGGAAGCAAATTACAAGCAGTCAGTTAAACCTTTTCTCTGGAGCTTCATAGTTTACGTTAAACCATTTAAACTGATGAGTCTTCTTCTAGTGTATTTCCCTCTGACTAAAGTAAACCCAATAATACCTATGGACCTGGTTGTGGTGTTGAAAACAGTTAATAAAACAAAGGATTTGGGATATTTGATACACAGTTAAATACTTTTTAACCTGAAAAAAAAATCAGAAAATCTTAATAATCAGAAACTGTCTGAGTTTACTCCAACATTAAAAGGGTGTTCTGAACTAAAATATACATCAGTAATAATGAACTTTACATTATCTCACAGGCATAAGTCTTATTTTAACAGTTTATAATAAAATATGTATTCAGGGTAAATCAGTAATAATGATTTGTTAATATTATTGATATTTTTGATTGGACAAGTTTAAAAATGGCTGATTATTTACTGCTTTTCAAGCCAAACTTTAAAAGGTATTAATTGAATCAGCTTCATTGTGTTTAAGGTCAGGATCCCAAGGGGCAGAGTAACCTGGATCATTTCAGTCTGTTTTGCTTTTATGCTCACTTAGCTTCTGTTTAAAATGTATTGTTCTTTTTTCCCCATATAGAGGTTCCCAGGACATCAGATAATGGATGCATATGTTTGAACATTATTAAAGTTAATTTCTTAATTTGCTTAAAGATAGGAGAAATATCTGAGGGGTTTTATTTTTATTTCGAAGATTTGCTGAAAAGCTTTGATAGCAGTTTATATCAACCTGTAGTCAGGAAAAGACTTTTTGAAAAAAGTTTGAAAGATAAAACCCACCTTAATTACAACTATTCAGCAAAAAATAAATAAAAACAAAAAGCCGATAAAAAAAAATACCCTTGCTGGCCACAAGTTTCCCCCAAATCCACACAAAAAAAAAAAACCTTATTATTAGATGGTTTTATTAACTGAGAGCTATTTTCCATTCTACAGAGGCATTTGTTCATTCAAAAAAGGCTGAGGAAATGAAAACTAGATTTAAACAGGGAGGTTACCCATACTCACGCTTCACAGAGCTGGATCTAAGAAAAGATCACTCTAATTTACAGACGCTACAAAAAACAAAATACTTTTTTATACATTCAAATATCTAATCCTGAACTCTACTATATACTTTTTTTATTCTATTGTGTTATCTTTTTTTTTATTGGTAAAGCAACAACAAAAACATACAAGACAAGAAAATACAGGAAAGGGCTTGCTTCCCCTTTTTAATGTTAGCAACTGTTGTGGCTGCAAATTGCAGTGTTACCATGAAACCTGCAATCTTTCTACAAGACAACGGCTTTAACAATGTGATCAGTTTTCCAGCCTCACATGCAGAAGACAAAGCGGGCATCATACCAAGATAAACAGCGATGCACGAGACCGTGATGATGAGCTGCACTTGAATGATGCTTATCATCATATTTCCTCTTTCATTTGTTGCAGTACTTAACATGTTACTCTGCCACCTAGGGGTTAAGATCTGAAACTACCTGAGGCTTTTTATATTAAAGGGTATATTTATCTTTTTGTAGCCAGAAAAACTGTAATCACTAATGTAAATATATTTTTTAAGAGTTTTATTGCTATTGTTTAACATTTTTCTGTCATGTCATTTTACTGAAATATATATTAGCCTATAAATCATGTAAAATGAGATAAATGTGCCAATGTTTTTAGATAAAGAGATCAACAATATTTCTAATGAATGTAAGCATAAAGCAAAGATACAGTCTGATCAGTTAAGAGCCCACGAATAAAAATCTTGGAACGGGAAAGAAACCCCCCCTGATAATTTCTCCTGCCTCTTTGTGTGTCTGTGTTTGTGAGGAGATGCGTGTCTCGCTTCCATCCCTGTCAATGATTGCTGCCATCGGTGTTTGCTGTGGGTCCTAATCCACTTTCTCCTTCAATGCCAAGCCACTGCTTCCCCTTAAATCATTGTCTCTCCCTCCAAATGCTTCAGTCTGTAAATCAGTGTGTTTGCTTTGGATTCTGACATGGTGAGAGGACACAGTGGAGGATCACATCACCTCATGAGTTTGGATTTGTTCAGACAGAGGACGGTTCTGTAAACAGTTCTTGAGTCTGTCTGTTCTTTAAATTTAGCTTCCAATGAGCCAGACTTTATTATAATTATTTAAAGCTACCTTAACTTTATATCTGCAGGAAAATAAAGTTATTTAAGAAACTCAACATTCCTGTGGAAGGGTGGTAATGGAAGCTTAAATTAAATTAGTCCAAAGGTATAAATATATTATCACAGCCTCTGTGTCCTCCACTATGACTTTTTAACTTAAGCTCTTCTTACCTTCTGATTTGTGTATTTCTTCTTCCGCAGACTCAACCAACAGTGACTCAGCTAAATCAAAGGTACCGTCTTTCAAACACACGCGACAGTTCATTAAACGCACCATTTTGGCCAATTTTTTTCTTTAAAACCATCCTGGGTATTTACATCATAAAGCTACAATATATTTTGAAGACAACTATTGATTTAATTCATTTGAATGTTTCTCCTTGGACTTGGTCCAGTGTTGGTCAATAAAAAGAGTTGTGTCAAGCAAATCCTTTCCTGCAGCGAGAAAACACCAGCTGCAGTCTAATTAAGTTAAGAAAGAAGACCTTTTTGGAGCTGTTTCCGAACAACTGTAGATTAAAAAAAATAAAATAAAAAAAAACATCCACGTGGACAAATCGCATGCATTTTTAGAGGAAAGGTTAAAACTATTAAGTTTTTTGGACAGAATTAAGAAAACTTTGTCAAAAGGTTTTCAAACACAAGAAACCTACTGTCATGTATGGTAGTGGCTGCATCATTCTGTGCGCAGTTTCACTACTAATGCTGTTTTGACTGGCTCCAAATTCTTCCAACTTGCCTGAAATTAACAACCCAATGGTTCAAATTTGACCAGTTTCCCTCAACAATAACATGGGGTGGGTTTAATGCAAACTTCTGACCTGAAGTGTAATGTAGGACATAAGAAATGTTGGTGTTACAGTAGTATTTCCTCCTTTTTCAGGGGTCCTGGGGATCAAAAAAAGACCTCACCGCCAAGGACTTCCTGGCACTGTCCATCATGTCCGCCGTATCAGGGCGAAAGCGAAGGAAGCGGCATCTAGCTCGCCGGATCGGCAGCAGCACCGATGATGACTCGGAGCACGAACCGATCAAAGCAGGGCACCTTGGGATGGAGGAGGAAGAGGAGGCAGAGTCGCCGGTGGGCGACACTGCTCCTCGAGCTGAGGGAGAGGAGGATGATGAGGATGAAGAGGACGACGATGATGACGAGGAGGAAGTTGTAGAAGGTGGAGTAAAGGAGGAGTCAGAAGAGGAATTGGCCACAGTTGTCTCATGTCAGCCGTGCTGTAAAGAGGAAGAAGAGGCTGAAGGAAGGCAGACGGCCATTTTGTTGCAGGAGGAGGTTGTCCGGGCCGAGGTGAAGGAGCAGCCGTGGAAAGCTCCAGAGGATGCTCGCTCTATTGTCTCTGGTTACTCCACCCTTTCCACGTTAGGGCGCAGCTTGGGGTCAGAGGGCAGGGGCGACGAGGCTGACGACGAGCACAGCGAGCTGGTGAGCGAGACTGACAACGAGAGCGGCTTCGCCTCACGCTCCCTTACCCAGGAGAGACCCAGTAAACAACCAACAACGCCACCAAACCCGCAACCATCAGCACCCCGCAGCTTCCTCTACTCACAGTGCAAACCCCAAGTTATCTTACCCACAAGCCCCCTCACCCCGCCCGCTCCCATCACCAACACAGCTGACTCTTCAGAGAGGAGTGAAGGAGGAGCACGCTCTAACACGCCCTCTTCTTCCTCTTCCTCCACTGCTCACAGACTGCACTCACGGCCTTCCTTTAACTCCCACAAGCTGATCCAGTGTGACACTCTTGCCAGAAAGAAACTGAAGTCGGAGAAGGCCAAGGCCCGTTCCCTGGACCTGTTGGAGTCTCACAGCGAGGGGACTGGCTCTGGGTCCGAAGGTGCACCAAGACCAGTGAAAGACAGCTCCAGAAGTAACCCCTCTTCAGGCAGCAGTCAGGAAAATCTGCGCCTATCCCGAACAAGGCCCGCCCTGCCGCCCAGCGAGGCTGCCTCCTTCACGCCAACCGGCCCAGGCGGCAGGTCTCTAGCTGAACACGTCCGCGCTCGACTGCTGGGCTCTGCCGACGACCTCCGTGGGGTCGGGCTCCGAAAACCGCCTTCACCTGAGACACGAAGGAAGAAACGTGCGTGGCGGAGACACACCGTAGTGGCCTCACCAACCGAGACATCTGACAAGAGATCCCCACTCACTGTCAACGAGTTCCCCCTGTCTCCCATCAACCAAAACCAGGTGAAATCTCGAGGAGCAGACAGCTTGAACCAAGAACCCGTTACACGCCAAGCTCCCACCTCTACATTGTACCACCAGTACCTGTGAGAACTTTCAGGGTTGAAGAGGTCCAACATAGCCAGTCATTTCTTTCAGACTCCACTTGCATGACAAAGGGCAGCACAGTGTTGCCTTAGCTTTAGGGTTTTCTGTTTGCTTTAAAACAACACTCAAAAATAGGGCCAAGACATTAACTATATCTGTTATCGCCAAAAATTCCCAATTTAGCAAAAATAGACATCCACTCCTTCCCAACTTAAATGGTTGGCCAAATGAGACACGCTTCTGGGTGATCAGAGGAGGGCGCTGTCCTGCAGCTTTGCTCTGGTTGAGAAAAATGGTGCTTTTACATGATTTAGTTTCATGGTAGATGTTACAAAAAACCATCAGAATCACAAAGTTAAACAGCCGTTTCTGTCTTCCTGACCACACTCACTGTAAAAGTCCAGTTTTTAGTCCAACCAGTGGACGGATTCCAACACATGGACACAGATGTCTGTCTCTTCTTGTTAATAATGTTTGAGTGTTTGCGCAAAAATGATGTTTTGTAGCATTTTGTACAAAGCCTTGTTAAGTTAACCTTGTAAATATAAATATTATGTTTGGTTTTCTCCTGTAATTTTTAGTTATTTTTATATGGTTTACAAAATGTGCACAGAGTGCAGTCATTTCTTTCAAGACGTTACTTGAAATGTTTCCCTTAATATATTATTTTTTGTTTATATTCAATATATATTATATATTTTGTATTAAAGTAAAGAAAAACAGTACTTTTATGGTGATTGAACCTCGATGCAACCTGTTCCTTATTTCTCCATAAATGGCCTTTCTGATCTTCAGCACTGTACAGAGTACCTTTATGTCCTGAGATACTGACTTTTAATAAAAGTGATCGACTTTAAACAAAAATCCATCAACAAACCTATGTGGGAAATGCATGTAGCTAATCTAGCAGATCCTTTTGGGAAGCTTAGCAGGCACCTGGGTATGCCAACACTGAGCTCATCTTTTTTTTTTCCATATCTGGTATTACTTATTGTTACCTCTGATCTCATATTTTTACCTTTTTAGTTTGGGATCTTTTTTCAGCCCATCCCCACTGAGGATTCATCTGTCAACACAGTTATTATTGCAGGGATGTGTGGGACACGTTTTCCATGAGGTCACATTTTATTTAATCCTAACAGACTTGGAGAAATGGTACATTGCAGAGATTGAAAACACGTCTTTAGAGTTCTGTGGGAAAATATTCCCTTCCCCCTTTTTCTTATTTGCGGATGTAAACGTGATAAAAAGCATCATAGTTTACCTGTAACAATACCAAATGCAGTATTCAAATGTACTATTACTCAAAGTATAATCATTCCAACCTGCCCCTACGTATAAAGGTAATTCCCCTTTAGTTGAATCATAAAACCAGTGTGATTAATCATGTGATTTGTTTCAGTTTCTGTTGCCCAACCCTAAATAGAACTAGTCTGGCAGCCTGAAGTAGAACAAAAATGTCCAAAAAAAACAGCACATAACGCCCCATAAAATATAGATCCAACAACAGATAAGAAACAAAGGTCTTTTACATCTTTCTAGAACCTGTTACAGAGCCATTTCTAAACCTTTAGGACTCCAGTGAACCACAGTGAGAGATGTTTTCCACTAATGACAATTTGGACAGCGGTAAACCTTCCTAGGAGCGGCTGGCAGACCAAAATTACTCCAAGACCGCACTGTTGACTCATCCAAGAGGTCACAAACAAACCCTGAGTGATTATCTTAAATCCTACAGGTAAAGATTGATGTTAGTGATTCGTAAAAAAAAAAGAAACTGACTTCCTTAAGACCTTTGGGGAAACAATTCTCAGCAAATGAGATGTGAAATAAACCTTTATTCTCCTTATATTAGTGTAAATATGTCAGGCGTGGTTCTTATGGGGGAGTGGCGTCCTAATGGTTAGGGCATTGCCCTTGGGTCATAGAGGTTGTGAGTTCAAGTCCCATTCCCACAGACTGCCACTCTGGCTCCCTGAGCAAGACCCCTTATCCAACACTGCTCCCTGGCCGCCGCACAGTGGCAGCCCACTGCTTAAATGCAGATTTAATTTGTTGCTTTGTACTTGTGACAGTGTAATGACAATAAATTAATTCTATTCTTAATTCTTTCAGGACCTGGATGAATTCCTGCTATTGATGAAACCATGAATTTTTAACTTAACAGAAGTTAATTTGGGGAGGGAATTTCCCCCTCTAGCTTTTTTTTTTTTTAAATAAATTAAAATCCAAATTTTTCAGTTGTTTTTTTTTGGCATATTTAGGTTTTTAATGTTAACATTTAGACCTTAATAATATCCACTGGTGCAAGAAATTAATTAGTAGGGTGGGATATTTTTTCACAGAACTGTTTAACTTTTATCTCTTCTGCTAAAACCACCACAAATAGCTTCTCTGACCAAAATATTCCAGTGTAGATAAAGGTCTAGTTTTTTTTTCTTACCTCAAGATTCTACAAGTGCCTGATTGTTCTGGAATGTGTTGTTCTGCGGTGCCATGCGCAGGTCCTGTCTTTTATTTATTTCCCTTCATTTTATGCGGATCTCCCCTCTTGATGTGGCTGATGGCCGAGCTAAGGAGACCGACCCAAAGATGCGTACATATAACTTCAAGCCAAGGACACATCTATGCACTCCTTTCGACGAAATGTGTTTATAACAGCCGTAACTACCGCTGCTAAGACCAAGGAAACAAAAACAGGCATAGAAATCCCTCAGCTGCTTCTGTTTCCCCCCCCAATCAAAGTGAGGTCATCTCTCTGTGTGATTATGGTACAACAAGCCCTTCCCTTTAACCACATTAGGTCACACCAGACAATATCACAATTCCTAAACCTCATCAGTTGGTGTGTGATGTACTGAAATGTGATTTTATCTAATGTTTGTTGTATTTTAAAACAGTTTTTGTACATACCATCTTAATATGTAACATACTGTATTGTGTACATTGGGAATTACTTTTGACTTACTGATGAAAATGACTGGACAAAAAAAAAAGCAAAGCTTGTCCGCCTGAAACTATTTCGCTTTGAAACAAAAAGGTATAAGATGTAAATAAACAGAAGTATGTTTAAAAGATGAGCGGTGTATGTGCTGGATCTTATTTCATAGCATGAGTAGGGTGGTGGCAGCCTACTGCTCCCCATGGGGATGAGTGAAGATGCAGAAGTAAATTTCCCCATTGTGAGATCAATGATGTTCAATTACTATATTATGAGTTAAATGACGCCCCCTAGAGGTTAAAGATGAATACAGATTTCCAGCCTTGTTTTGCTTCTGCACATTAAAAGGAAAACAGGCTGCTTTTCTTTATGTTACACTTAATTATGCATTCAGAAATTGAGCATACCTGTCACTAGTAGGTAGGTTCATATCATTTCAGCCTGTGGAGCATTTTATTAGACTTTGGGGTTCTGCTGGCATCTATCAGATCTAAATGTGCTACACTTAATAACACCTGTAGTACAGATTAATCAGAGCTCAGATGGCTTTAAGCCCAATGTGGAATCCCTGTAAGGGAGGATGAGTAGCCTTGTGATCAAAAGCAACACTGCAGCCTTTAGTGGGTGCTTCCTGGACCTTTTAGGGTTAAACTTTACAACCAGACAGCTTTAATCAAAACTTTTATTATTTAAATCAATTATAACATACAACTGTCAAAATGGTAAGTATAGGGTTTGAATTTGCAAGAAGAAAAATAAAAATGTTGCCCTAATGTGCTGCAATTTGTCACTGAATATCTGGAGAGGAAATGACATACAATGTTTTTGTCTTTAAACATGGAACAGTGTCAGTGGATACTCCCAGAAAGTTGAACATAAGAAAACAAATGTTTTTTTTTTTTTAGTTAAACACTCATATTTATAAAAAAAAAAAAAAAAAAAAAAAAAAAAAAAAAAATTTGAAATATTTACATTTCCACCATAATAAATGTTTAGGAATTAAACAGCCCAAATAGAACAGAAAGGTCAAATAGATGATTACAGAGAATTGATGACCGTTAAAAAAAAAAAAAAAACAAAAAAAAAAACAAAAACAAAAAAGCGAACAGTAGTCCAATATTTTTCCATTTATTTTTTTTACCTCTTTGAATGAATTTAGTCTTTTTACTTCGTGGTAAGTTGCCCACTCTCCTTAGTGGGCTGGCTCTGCAGGAGCAGCTCTGTGTTCTCGGCTCTCAGTCTCTCCAGCTCCAGCTCCATCTCCCGGAGCCGGACCTGAGAGTTCTCCCCCCCGGTCCCGGGCTCCACGGCGCGCCGCAGGCGGTTGTTCTCCTCCTCCAGGCGGGACATGCACTTCTCCAGCTCCAGGTACTCCTGCACCAACTCCTGCTTCGTCATGTTCTGCAGACTCTCTACGTGGTACATCTCATAGGTCTCGGAAAAGTCCCTCTGGAGATACTCCCCACCTGCGTTCCCGGGCCTCCCGATCCCATCGCTGCCTCCTCCTCCTCCGCTGCCGTCATCGTCTTCTTCCTCCTCATTGTCACAGAGCTCCTCCTCGCTCCCAGTGTCCTCCATGCGGCCGCCGACCCCACAGGGCCGCCTGAGCCCGCTCTCCGTATTGAGGTCGGGCTCCTCTCGGTCGTGCTCGTCCATCAGAAACTGGGTGGTGTTGTAGGGAGCGACCGGGAGCCCCTTGGCGAACATCTCCTCCCTCATCCTGGAAGCCCTGGCGGTTTCCCTCTCCTCCAGAGCCTTCTTCTCTTCCCAAGAAAGTTTGTTATAAGGCTTCCAGTGACGTTTCTTCTTAGAGGTCCTGCGCCGGTGCCTCTTTTTACCCAGCCGTGCTTCTAAGCCGGTGTCGGAGTCGATGAGCACATTCTCAACCCCCGCCCGGTTAAAAGCCTCCTGCAGGGGGCCGGGTCCTCCCTTTCTCTCTGGTCGATCGTGGTCACCATCGAGAAAAGCATCATTTTCGTGAGGCTTGCTTGCATTCGAGTAGTTGGAAAGTTCGTTTCCGGCTGCCGAAGCGGGACACACCTCCCTCCGTCCGCCTTTCATTCGCCATAACTTGTCTGTGTTGATATCCTCGCAGTTCCCCGCCCGGCGCTGATGCTTCTCTGCTCTCTGGCGCCCCCTTCCGCCGTTCTGTGGTCCTCCACGGTTGATGGCTGGGAGATGCTCCAAAGCGTCCCCGCTACTCTCACCTGACGGACTGTCTGAAGTTACTGTCTGCTCTCCTGGCTCTGTCATTCTGACGATTTCCTTCTTATTCGCTCCGCTTTAACACATCTTAGATTATTCTCGTGCCCAAAGAGGCAAGAATTCAAAGTTCGTTAAAAGATGAAAAAATTATGTTTTTTTAGAAAAAAAAAATAGTACTTCAAGAACGACTAAAAATGCGAAAATAAAGTTGAATTTCACGTCTGCATACAAACTTCCGAATAAGTCAACACTTGTTACTCCTCCAAGGATTTGTCAGAGCAACTGTCGCTAACTACCATTAACTGTTTCAGTGCTGTCAAAGGACACGTTCACTCTGAGACTGCGTTTCACCGTCACAACTGCGTCCAGTCTGCTACAGAAGAAGAGGGAGCCCGTGTTTATATAGCAGCTCCGCCGCTCTCTGTGCGCATGCCGCTGCTTGTGATGTGTAATGCATTCTGGGATATGCTGTTCTCATTACTGTAGAGCTCAGACGTAAAACATCCTTTATAAACTACATAGTCCACAAGTCTGCCATAAATGATTAGCTTTTCAACCAATCAGAGAGTACAACCATTGGCCCCAAAAATCCCACCCTCCATTTTTTTGATTGGCTCGCAGGGAAACTTTGCTGTTGCTAAGCTCAATCAATTTTCTGATTGGACGACTAATACTGTCACTCAAAAAAGCCCGAGGTAGACCTAAAAAAGCAGTCCCGGGCATTTTTATGGACACTACCATAAAGAAACGAAGGGGTAATAGGTGGATGTTTTGATTTCGGAGCTGGTTGTAATATTTTAAAACAATGTAAATGTTTGTCAAAAGTTAGCTGTTGTGTATTATACAATGGAATTTACTTGAAGCGGTTGTTTGCAATTCCAAAAACTAAATAGGACTTTCGGTAATAAAATGTAACTCACCTATATTTGAAAGAAAATAAAGCCACCCTTTCACAGAATCTAGTCCGTTTTCAGTGTTCGTGTTAAAATAATAATGAAATCTAAAGTAGTTACTAAATTATATTATGTCGAACGGATATTCGCATAAGAAATATGACTTGTGGGGGCTAGCTGTAGCATTCAAAGACTTCGTTTTAGTATTACGTGTTGTGCGGATTGATACGTCGTATAGCAGAAGCTTTGGGGGTGAACACAGTAACCAGCGTAAACAAACGGCATTTATTGTGAAGCCGCCGCTACGGTTACACTTCCGAACCCCTCGTTGTCAAAGGGTGGGTCAGGCGATCTCACACCTGTTTAATAACGCTGCTACCATTGACGAAGTGGTGTCTATCTGTTTATTCTCGGCAGCCCCAAATGTGCAGTGTTTTACACCGTTGCCTTAAATTTTAAAAGCTAAGGATATGTTGGCTAACGTTAGCTCTTAACGTTAGTTAGCGAACGGAGAGCTCCGTGATGTCGCTCGTGTATTTAAAACACTGCATCCTTTCCAACAATTGTGAAATCACTTTAACCATTAAAATCTAACCTGAAATGTGGACATGAGAGTCAAAAGTTAATGATAGCGACATAAAAGAATAAACGTTGTGGATAAAGCTAGGCTAGCTAAAGCTAACTAGCTCGCTCTATAGCGTTTAGTCATGATTCCATATAATAAAAAGAAGTGAGTTTTCACTGTCATGTCAATTGTATGCTGTATTAAATGAACAGATATGTATTAAAATGCAAATAAAACGGTAAGAACGATTTTTACTCTTAAGCTGACTAGGCCAACGTGTTTTCGTTGGTCCCGTTTATGTCCTGGACGAAAACAGTTCCCTTCCCAGTTCTTCATTGTTGCTTTATCTTAGCTTATAAAATGCACGCCCTTTTACGTCTTTTTACAGCTGTAACAACTACAGGCTCTGATATAATATAAGCGAACTTAGAATGTCTTGTCTATATTAAATCTGTTACCCACTACCTCGCTAACTACCATCGCTTCAGGAAGTAGTCGGTGCCTGATCTTTCTTTAGTTCTCCGATAGTTAACAAGCTTTAACATGACCTTTTTGCTTTCATTTCTCCGTTTACATTTTAAAATAGCCTTTCTTGGCTTTTTCAAAAAACAGATATTAGAAATGAATGTTTGTGAGTATAGCTGAAATGCACTGGATTATTGTTTATGTTCAACTGTTTCAATTTGTTTCACATAAACATCATTTTATGTGTGCAATATAAACTATTGAGGTTTAAACACTGTGTTCACCTTCGGCTATGAATTTTTAGCTGTCATGTTTGTATATTGGTATAGTTTCCTCACATATACTGCTAAATATTCTTTATTTTATAAAAAAAAAAAAAAAAAGGATAAATTGGTAATGTGGTGTGCAAGATTTTACAGGGAGTTGCTGGGAGGTCCTGGTTTCCCCAAAACCCTCCCTGTAAACAGCAGGAATCTAATGGCTCCCAAACAACACAGGCCAACTACTTCTACTAATAGAAGCAGGCCTAGTTTCACCCCTGGTGAATAAGCAAGCTGAACTGTGAATTCTTTGAGAAAGAGGTGGTGCTCTGCTGTGAACGTGAAACCCCTGACGACTGTGAAGACCAGGGAAACCATTCCAGAGCTGCAAGCATATTCCTCAAATCAAGAAGCAGCAGCTACACAACCCAAGCTGCTCCTGCATAGATCACAGCCTCCGAGGATTAGCAGACATGAATTAATCTCTCACTCAGTCTAACCTGGTTATTGCTGCTGTTGAGAGGAGGAGAAAGATACAAACACTTATGATGCAGAACATATGGGTAGGATGCATTAAAACCATGAACTGTAGATAGAGTGTATGCAAAACCCAGAAATTGATCCAAAGGCTGCATCAAGTGACCAGGTCAGAGAAACAGATTAGCCTCAAACAGTTAAAGTCCAGCTCTCCAAAACATTTTCTTATATCTCCTATTGATAATAATCCTTTTTCCAGTTTTCCCAGCTCTTTTGTCCTCTGTTACCTTATGCTTCTTATTAGTTAATGAGTGCTCATATTTATATATAAAAAAATGTTTTTCTACTTAAAATGACAACACTGTAAACATGTATGTATTTAACGCTTTTTATATGTGAAAATATAATTTTGAGAATTTTTTAAAGTTGTGTAGGCATTATAACTCGCCAACAGATGGCGCTTCTGTCTCATTCACTGCTAAATTAAAGCGGCTTTAGCGTGCATAACTTTTTTTGACAAGGATTTTCAAAATAAAAGCCAAGGTATTTGAACTAGATTAATGCAAAATGAAACCATGCATTATAGTCTTAGACAACTGAGTAATGAAAAGGGAATCCTGTTGGTGTTTCATCAAAGATCCGAACGATGCACTCCAAAATAAAATTCCATTTTTGCCATAAATCCCAGAAAACGCAATGTGTTGTTTTGCAAATGCTTGACCAGCCATAATATAAATAAACAAATATCCAAAATAAAAGCCTTACTTTTTAAAGCAGGGGTTACTGCTAAATCATATTCCACATTACTATTGGAAATGCAATAAAACGGGACTATATTGGCCTTCAGAATAAAGGTTACAAGTTATCTTTGAAATTCCTGTTCTTATGTGGGCTGTAGAGTTAAGGAAATTAGTTTAATTTGACATGTATTTTAAGAGAAAAATATTAAGTGTTTGGCAATTTTCTTGAATGTTAATATTTCAAATCAGTCACATTTTTCAGTGTAAATTGCACTATTAAAATGAAATTTAGATAATCTGACTTTGTTTTTAGTCATACAGTGGTGACTTTGCTATTTTATATTATCCTGCTGCAAAGCCCAAGTGGAAAGCAATACTTTTCCCTTCATTATTTTCTAAGGAAAAAAAAGAGAGATATCCCGCTTTTATCATAAATTCAGTTAAAAAATACTAAATTTGTCCCTAATGGAAATTAAATCATAATACCAAATATTAATTTTTGAAAACGCAAAGCTCTCCCAGACCATTGCACTGCCACCACCGTGTTTTATTGACATTACTTTTCCTAAACGTCTTGGGGATCATAAAACAAAATTTTATTTTTTATTGTTTTGGGATGTAAGAACGGTAATTATGTTTGTTTTGGTCAGCTATGTTTCTGGCCTTTGACTCTCCTTCCCCCCAGTCTCTCTTTCTTATGATGGATCATGAACTCTGACCTTTTAACTCAAGTGAGACATAGCAGAGCTTGATATGTTCGGGATTTTATCATTAAAAAAAAAAAACTTTTTCAGAAAACATGGGGATGAGGGGAAGGGCAAAGACTTTTCCACAGCTCTCCAAATTTAGAGAATATGATTTAAATATGTGCTTCAATGTTATTTGTAGAGGCGAACTAAAGCAAAATATGATCTTATTCAACTTCATCTGTGTTTCAGCCTATCAGCTCTACCTATTAAATTCTGTGGGCGGGGCTTCACTAATATATTAAATATGATTGGCCTGCAGAATTCTTACACGCGATTTGACAGTTTGTATATATACTTTTTGAACAAAAGTAAAACATTCTTCTACATTAAATATTCAATTTAACATTATTGACAGTAATGGTAGAAAAAATTCTCTTTGACCTCTGTGCCTTTGGCTTTACAAAAAATCCCAATGATTGTCCGGCTCTGATTTATCCGGGTTCCTGTTTGTTGGCGCAACAGAAGGAGGAGGCGCACGAACCAAACTGCGCGTCTACGCCTGCTTTGGGAATCTTGTTACGCCCAGGCATGGAGATCACCCACAGGGGAGGGACTCTTCACACATGTGGAAAGAGGAATAAATGTTGCTCACAGCTGTCTGCTTCACAGCTCAGGGTCTCTCTGGACAGCTTCAAGACACCTGCGTCCTCATACCCGGAGTCAAGACGCGCGTAAAAGGAAATCCGGATAGCCTAAAGCTGTAACTAAAGTTTCTTAAAGTTTTCTAAATGTCAGGCAGCGGCTATAAGTCAGCGGCCCCCGCTCCGAGGAGGGAACAGAGGGGGAAAGCGGGTGAGAGGCTGAAGGATCCCATTAGGAGGCTCGGTAAGGAAATCTCGGTTCTGTCATTAAAAAGGTTAAAGGCGGAACGGAAGTGCGCCTGGGCTGCTCCTGCCTCAGTGTAAACATTGCTGATGTTTATTCTGATTTCACACATTATATGAAACATAAAATATGTTTTTACCTCCTGATCCCTGCTTAGAAAACTTTTTCTTTTTTCTGAGCTGCGCCTCTTCTGCTTGTTTTCACAACAAATCACCTGCAGTTCAGCCGCAACTGCTGAAAACAGCGCAGCAGATCTGCTGTGTAATATATGACGCATCTAATAGAGATGTAAAAGAGTGTTTGTGGGGACGAATATGAATCAGACTCCAGAAAAGAAAAAAAACTGCTTACTAAGAGCTACACCTTTCCTTTAAATAGATCCCTGCCGAGCAGCCACCTGTCAGAATCTCTGATAAAACTCAAGATGACTGGAAGTGTGATCAACGCTGTAGCTCTCTGTTCAGTTTGCCCCACTTATCACACACAACCTGAAGTTTCCTTCTTAATTTGGCGGATTTGCTGCAAAAACAAAACAACTTTCTCTCAGTTAATCATGATATAATTGAAAAGGTCTTTTAATTCACTAAATAAAGTAAAACTAATCTATCTCAGTATGTTATTAAGTACAATTATTATTTATTTCTGTCACTTTAATGGATTAGGGTCTTCAGCTGATTGAATCCCAAACTCAATGATGCAGAAATTGAAATATTGCATAAGACCTTTAAGGATTGACTTGTGTAATATATAAATGTTAGGTTATTGCTTAACACAATTATGGAAACTCCTTATAAACAGCACAGGCCGACCTCCATGCCAGTTGCATATCATGTATATGGTTTGGTTTTTGAACTGTTGATATGAGATTATTTATCAACGTTGTTTTGATTTATGAAGATGCAGCTGTATATGAACAATCACGCAGAAATCTGCTGGAATGGATCCAGAAACCTATTAAATCCAGTCCTTAAAGCTTCCGAGCATAGCCTCCCTCTCTGCCACTTGTTAAGGCGTCACTGACGTCTCAGTCGTGTAACTCTAGCACTCTGCTGAAGTATATAATCTGTAACTGCCAAGGCTATATTTGAATCTGCTACTAATATAATTTGTATTGAAGGAGGTGAGATCACCGGCCTCCCACCCACCTGACTCCTTCCCAGCCATCCTGTGTCGCTCAGTTCCCTTGGCCTTCCCTAACTCTCTTTATTTATTTTTGAGGTCAAGATTTAATGGTTCAGGGTTTCATTCTGTTGACCTAGACAGAAACAGATGACACATATTTTAGGTTATTGGGTGATTTTGTTTCAGAGTTTCAGGAAGTAAACAGCCTGGCCGGGTCATAAACCTCAGTACTGTCTTTAGTGCAGCCGAACGGTGCTTTTTGAGCTTTGTTTTGCCATGTTGTTTCTTTTTTTTAATACTCAAAGGATTTTTTTTTTATCTGACAAAGATTTAACAGAAATTTCTGACAGATGTAAGTACTTTATTCAGGTACAAGTGATTAACGGGTGGAGTTTACAGGAACAAAAGTAATCTGTGTAAATTTTTCCTGAGGGAAAACGCAACCTCAAGGCTCAAATATTGGAAGAAAAAGCTTCAGAAACAACAATTAACCTGTAAACCTTAAATTTATAGATACATGTTTTTTTTATTTGTTTGTATGAACATTTTTACATACTTATACCTCCAATGTTTTATTTTCTTAAGGAGGTTTTTGAATCTAAATCACCAAAAAGCTCCACTTTCTGTTCCTCTTCAGAACAACTTGACAGGATAAAAAAAACAAAAAAAAACTTCCAGGGCTTTGTAAGAGGCAGTTTCCCAGTGAAACACAAACACGTTACTTTAGCCAGCAGTCAGGACTTGATTCATTAGCTTTATAACTTTAGATCATATTTAAAAAAAAAAAAAAAAACTTCAAAGACTTGTGACTTGACCTGGACTGTTACACAAATTACTTAGGACTAGAATTGGACTTAAACTTAACTCGGAAATATGAATATTTTAAGAATTTACTCATCCTGTAATAACAAGGATAATCTCTCTGGCTTTCTACATTCTTCTTACTGTATGTGTTGGAGGTAAAAGCACAGCCAACCAAATTAACCACATTTAAGAAATAATACAAGTATCCTTCCAATAGTGCTGTCATTTTTGTGATAAACAACAAAGTAGTCAAAGAAAACCTAAGATGCAATATGCAAAAAATGCAAGAGACAAAAATGAAAAAGCATTCAACTATGAATGACGTTTGAAGTTTCAAAAAACATGGGATTAATAAAGATCTAGATCACTAGATGGGTTATTTTTCATTTGCTTACTGACTTTAGATAACTTATTATTATGAACTCTTAAGTTGAGCTGGTTTCACCATCTATTTAGATAAAAACATGGGCTCATATTTAAATTTAACATATTATTCACCATAAAAAAAATCAAAAAATCAAAAGGACTTTAGAATTGGTTACCTGTCCTGACTTCTGCCCAACCCTGACATGACCATAATGATTGAAGACGATTTTGAGACTTCCTAAACAATGGTTAGGTCCCAGCTCTGAGTAAAGCTATAATCACCACGATGCATCCAAAGCCGACATGGAAATGGTCTAACTCCAGTCTATTACCGGTATTCATTTGTGGCTCTTTGAGCAGCTGTGGATTGTTAAAACAAGTGGATGGCAACAGGCTTGATTTCTGAAGAGATTTTAGATGATGAAGGCAATCAAACATTGACTTGAGTTTGATATGGATACAGAAAGAAAAACTCACTTGATGACAGCAAAGAAAAGCTGAAATAAATGAAGCATCATCTGTTTTCGGTAATAATCTCTCTTTTAATCAAGTAATCATCCAAATTACTTGCGAATTGTTTCAGAAGCAGCAGTGGACACTTACCATGACACTTCCACCTCCATGCCTAGCTGTTCTTCTGATAACGCTGGGATCTTTTTTTTTTTTCAGTTAAAATTTGTTAGAAAGATGGCTCTTATCTATTCCTTTTGTCTGCTGCTCATCATCGGCTAATTAAAAGTATTTGGAGCATTTTTTTAAAGTCCTTCTAGAAGGCACTGCTTTCACCATTGATTTTAAAGCGCTTCGGAAATGTGATTTTAGACTTTATTAACAGCAGGATTCTCTAAATGTCTTCACACATTTTTAACACATGAGCTGATATTTGCAGTTCTCATTTAATGGAGAAAAACCTGATTTATTTATTTCCATGTTTTTTAAAATATATATATATATATATATATATTGGGCTTATGTATTTACCCATAAAGTGTCTCTGATTTGTTTAATTGAAATTATCTCCTTTTCATCTAATTCGTCATCAGCTGTCATAATAACACCAACCATTACGTTTATTGACTATTTTTTTTTCTTAATTTTGTTTGAAAGTTTTATTTGGAATCCGAACTCTTTATTTGATCATGTTTTCAGCAAATCTTTTGCTGACGACTGGGAGTGGAGGGAACGTCCCTGCCCGCCATCTGTTTCTTAAAGGACAACATAGAGAAGCTTTTAATTGGGTCAGCAGCAGCTGCAGAACACCCTAAACTGTTTGTGCCTTATAAGTGGCACAGAATCTGCACTAGCTGGCTCTCATGACATTTGTTGTGCTGAGAGAAACGTGAGCCTTTTACTCAGGAGCTGCTGGAGAGAAATTATGGGAAGGGACCAGGCCAGCTGACAGTCCTGGCTAGGCCTGGGCCAAATAAGCCCCTACATGTGGCATTCCTATTTTTTGTGTAGAACCAAAGTGTTGATCACTGTTAAAATGATGCATAATGATTATGATGGATATGAAGTAAAAATTAATTAATAAATTACATGGAAAATATGAATTAGTTATTTGTATTTTTTTTTATATGTATATAATTTGAAGTATGCATCTTAAGTTGTAAAGAAATGTTAAAATTTACAAAGATAAATCTTTTAATTTTTTAATATATCGAGTATGTGGCACTTCTGGCTTTCCATACATGCTCCAGTCACATTTGATCCTTATTGTAGACTTCTGCTTGTGTAGCACATTTAGATTTGAGCACAAAATATTATGTTCAGCTTCACAGCTGAGGCTGTGCTGCAGGATTATTTATTTATTCACCTCCACTGCTTCACCTGCCTCATACTGGTGCACATTCCACATTGTCACGTCAGTCAAATTATTAACAGAGCAGCCTCTTATTAATATTCTGATTTCATCTAGCAAAGATAAACAACAGATCAGCCCTGACAGAAATTGATGTGGGTTTTATTTGCGCCATCAGAGTACTAATAAAACTCTGACAGCCAGCACAGAAAGCGGGCTTTCTGCAAGTGAGAGCAATCAGAAGTTAAGCTGCTATCTGCAACATGAGGCGTGTTCCTCAGGTGAGGATCTCTGTACTGTTTCTCTATAAAAGTAATGGAGCCGCTGCCTGATCAGGGGGAGAGGGAATAATTCAGGCTCTGCATTTTTTATTGCTTTACCTGCAGCTCAGTGAGTCTTTTGTATTTTACTGGAGCAGCTTGATAAAGTTTTAAGAGGCCTCGTCAGTAGCTAAACTATTTTGAAGGAATGGAAATGGAATGGAAGGAATTTTCTGCTATTTTTATATTCCAATTTCCCATTGCAGTGTTACGATGGAAAATTGGAAGAAAATAATAATAGAAAAAGATTTTTTATCTAACTTAAATATCGAGCCTATGGAAAGTGTTTCTCTAAATTTTTGGTGAAAACCTTTTTGTCCGTGTGCCATAGTTGTAATGGACTGGTTCTTCCCCCAGCATCCCCCTATAAATCTATTGATAGTTTTATAAATAAACCTAACATTTAGTATTTTTGATTTCCTATCTCACTAATGTCTTGAGAGATTCCTCTACTCTTTATGATTCCATCCATCTCCTTATGCTTAGTCTGGGTTGGGTTGCGGGGAAACAAGCGCAGTAGGGAGGCCTTCCCTCCTTCCAGCCATATGAGGCAGCTTCTCTGAGGGAATCCGAGGCGTTCTCTGGCT